CTTTGGATATGCATTCTGCCTTTTCAGCAGGCTCAGGCAAAGAAAGGCATGGAGCTTCTGCATGTGAAAACAGCAAATTCCTCTTTCTGCCCCTGCCCCCCAAGCACAGTGTATATGTATTACCACAGGCACAGCTGCTGAAGGAGCTATTATTTGTACAGGGCCAAATGTTGCAAGAGCATTCCCTAACAATTATATCTAGGCATAGAAGGGGGCCAATGTGTGTATGTTTGCCCATAAGCTTTGGCTTTCAGGACATGTAGTGGACAAAAAAAACCACCTCGTTTTAAAAACAAAAACAATTAACACACAGCACCCCCCCAAGTTTGTATTCAGGGTCTTTCAGTGACATTTAAGATGTGAAATGCCTAGTTTTGGGGTTTTTTTTAGATGAGTTGTAATTACCTTTAAAAGCTTCAAATATCCCTGTCTATTCTACAGTTATCAAATAACTCAATTCCTATTCGGAATAAATTCACCCTTGAAGCAAAACAAAGCTTTTCACATCTTCCTAAACTTGCATCAACTATTACTACTAGCCTGTTTGCATTTGCCCCCTTTCTTAACTGAACAAGAGTAAAATATCTATACCATAGCTTAATACAGTTTAAAGGCTTACTTCTGTCTCTCTTTTAGCAAGTATTTAGTGCTATTTCAATAACACTTGGACTTAAATTTCATCCCCTTTTCCAAGCAAAGAGGCTATCAGACAAGCTGTGCTGGGTAACCAGAATCCAGTCCTACCACAGCAGTAAGCCACAACACACTTGAGTGTGCAGCCACTGAATGTGTTCCTCATTTCAGACTTAAAAACTGCCCTCCTCAGCTCTGGGATTCAAGATGACCAGCATATCAAAGTACCAGCCAGAGACTGTGCTTCATATCTTCTGCTAGATCCGTCACATTGAGCATTGTTATGCTACAATGATACAATAAAAATTAATTAGAGATGCACAAGGCCAAGGGACAGAGCCTTTAGACTTAGGGGCATCCAAAAGCTGCTCCGCTGCCCGGAAAGGGCACGCAGAGGAGAGAACAGCCTTATTATGACATGCAAATTTAACCTATAGACCACCAGCACGGAAGAATAAAATACTCAGGAGTGACAGGCAACCAGAAAAGCAAGTCTGTCACCTCAGAGTCCATCCCAGGATGAAGTGAATGCAAGGCTGAGCAATGGGACACCCTTCCATACTGGATAATGCAGAGGAGAGCATATTTCTGGCAGTGAGTTGTGAGACAAAGTGAGACCATTAACAACAAGCTTTTTTGAATCAAATACACATGCCTTATAGCTAGATTCAAATGAATTAGCAGCATCTTCCTTCCCATGCCATGGTATCCTCAAAACAATGCCACCTTCCTTCAAAAGCTTGCATGGATTACTGTCCCATTACTTTGGGAATGAAGGCTTTGTATTTGAAATCTCAGCCAATTCCACTTCCCTTCTCTTTGGTACAACCTCAGTCTATTCTGGTGCAAAGTTTAGTTTGAGTGAGACAATAAAGAAGAGACACATCATCTAGTAACACCATTAAGCATATTGTCTACACATAAAAAGCGCTCTGAGCTATTTTATAATCAACTTGTCAGAATACACACAACAGGTTATATGCAAAAAAACAACAGGCTTTTAAGAGATCATTTTCTTCCATGTACAGTCAGGCTGATCTGTATTCCCACACTTGACTCCAGTTAGGAAAATATCTGTTGCTCTGCTTTGGCACTACAACAAACACCTGGCTTGGACAGGCTTTCAGTCTTCCCACTCATAGATGCTGAGGGAGCCCTTTTGGAGAGAGAGTGTGTGCACATGTGTGTATGTGTATGGAAGAATTTGAACTCACACCAAAATGCTGTTCATCTCTACTTTGTGCCACATTTCAAAGCAAAGACTATTGACACTCCAGCTCCTGTGTTACACACCAACCTTTTATGATAACTGTTAATTTAGGAAATTAATCTTTTATCTGTGCAATTTTTTTCTCACTTTGTCCCTTGGCATACTATTAAAATGGCAAAAGACACAAAAGCTGTAAGAGTTTCACTGCCTTGCAATGACGAGTTTCAAACGTTCAGTTGTATTTCATCCATCCTCAGGCTGGGAATCTGTCAGGACACACTACTTTGAATGTAAAGATTCTGATAAGGATATTTATAGTCCCAAACACTTTTAAAGCTTGCCAGTGCACAGCTTAACTTCAGCACATCACTTAGTGAAAAGTTTAGTTTATACAACAATATTCACAACCTTAAAACTAGTAATAACAGAACAGCATGGAATCACAATTTATATTCAGCAAGTAACTGATTTTCTCAGAACACCACTAAGCAAAATGAGTGATACCATTCCCTAACACTGTTATTTCTGTCTTTCCTGAATACATCCTATTTTTCCCCAGTGAGAAATGCTGTCTATTGAGGTTACTCTGTGAGGTTTTGATGTTTGTAAGCCACAGGAAGCTCTAGCAGTTTGTTAACTACCTGGCTGCAGAACTTCTGGAAACATTAAAGACAGACAGTATTTTCCATGTGCATCATACACATAGTACTGCACACATACCACACAGATGCTTTGTGCATACATATAGCAGAAGTCTGTTACTTCCAGGACAACCTTTTTATGGCAAGCACACTGCTTCTGAAAGCAGAAACTGTGCAGATTTACTAAGTGTGAACAGAGTAAGAGTCCTGTGCAGACACTGAAGGGCTGATGCTTCCCAGGGAAGCTGGGAAAAGTTGCAGGCAAATTCTGCGTCAGGCATAAAGGTTATGTAAATCTACAGGGGAAAAGTGGTATTGGAATGCTCTCAGATGAGAAGCATTCACTCAACATCAAGTATTTCTGGGGGAAAAAGAACACACCAAAACATCCTGCTTCAAATAAAAAAAAAATCAAATAATAAAAAAGATAAAAATCAAGGGATTGGATGGATATCAGAAGCAGATTTCAAAGTCTCAAAACAGCCAACAGCTCAGATAAATAGCTTTTCTCAGCTCTCTGGCTCCCTCCAAACTGTCACACTCCAACAGGGTTTTGACTCTTAACATCTTTTTTTTTTTTTTTTACCAGACAGACACGAAAAAATATAAACGAAACAAAATTCATCCTGAATACCTGAAAGGCAAAATGCATTGGTGGTGTTTTGATTTGTTTCAGGATTTTTTTTGTGTTTTGGGGGCAGGTTGGTGGGGTGGGTTTTTTTTCTGTGTTTTTTATTTTTTATTTAACAATTGAATCACCTTTTTCTTTCTGGTTCAACAACTAATGTATTATTAGCCTACTACTTGAACTCCTCTCTTCACTAGCTAAGCGTGCACATTAATTTCTTCACAATACAGCAGAAAGGTTACATTGCTTACAGGTACGCACTAATTTATTCAGCAACTTCCCACATCCTGCAGGAGAAACAATTCTCCTGCCAACAAAGCATGGATGACTTTCAGGTTTAGGGCATTTTTATCTTCCATCTGCTTTGTGACGCCTTCTCAGCACTCCACACGTATGTTTGATAACAAACAACAAGCTCTTGAAAACAGATCAGAATACAGAGAGCACACGACAGCTTTGAGCTTGCTATTTCTTTGCACCTCAACCAAAGGACGAGCCTACTAAATATGAACCACCCTTCTCACTCTCTCATCTGCATTTTTTAAGTAGAAGGCAAATAAATAAAAATACAGCCTTCCTTACACAAATATGTACTTTAAAATTTTCCCTTGCTTTATTAGGTATAAAGGTCACCCACATGACAAAACCAAAAAAAAAAAAAGAATCAACATGTGCACACCAGCCACTACAACACCTTTCCCCTGAAGTCCAGGCTGCAAAGAGGCTGCCATAGTAACAGCTGTGTGTGCTTACAGACTCAAAATAATATCCATTTTCCCAAAGAAATAAATCAAAATACAGAGTATCTTTTTTTACTTCTTTTCAATAAAACATTATTATCTAGGGGAGCAGTGGCAACATTCCAGCACATCTGGATCAGCCTCCCAGAATTACTCAACAGTGACTCACAGATCAGTCTGCCTTTCAGGATTTTTTGATTTTTGAAAGCAAATCCTTTTACAGTCTCCATCTTTCATCACTACAACCAACTATATTCCATTTAAATACCATTTCAGCTGCTAAGAAAAACAGGTAATGCAGGAATATATGGAAAAAAGGAACACATTTCAGCAGCTGACTGCCCCCGTGCTTCTTAACAGGTAATGGACCAGTCCTATGTGCTTGAGAAAGTGAAACAAAAGAGCTGCCCCCTAAGAACTGTTTATGAAAAGCATTTATATTTGGTTTGAACAAACAGAGTCCTGGGAGAGTATTGGCAAGGAAGCATCTAACAGAAAACTGATGGGGGAGCTATGTACTCATGTCTAGAGCTAAAAAGTAATTCAATCCTGACCTCCTTCAAAGTCCAACTGCCTTGTGCTTTTGTTTCAAGTGCAAAACAGATGTTTCACATACAAAAAAACTCCTGCTCTTATCCTCTACAAGGTTTTGCTGAAGAAGCTACTTTGAATACTACACTTTCCCACTGAACAGACCACTCCTCAGTGCATGTTGAAGGGAAGGAAGACATACTAGGACATGTTGTGATGCAGCAGCCTTTCATATTTTCACCGAGTTTGAACAGTGAGAAGATTTAACATGATCTCTAAACAGAAACCAATTAATCTACAGTTGTCGACGTTTGCCATTACCTTTAACCAAAATCCCTTACTGAAGTCCTCATTCTTGCTCTACCTTGCTCCAGTCTCTCTATGTGCTTATAAATTCAAATGATCTGTGTTCTGAATTGGAGCAAAAACTAATCTTGTTGAAAATTAAGTGTGTTCAACTGAATTTTCTATTGCAAAAATGAGGCAAACCATTGTCATTATCAGACGAGTTCTTTAAGCTGCAAAGAACTGTCAATATACAAGATTAAAATGCAACGTGTAAAACAGAGAAAGAAAGTCTCTCTGGGCAGCAGGATTGCCTTAAGTAGCCTTGTGCTTCTGCCATGCGTTTCAGTCTCCTGAACCGTGTCAAGTCTAACCATGTGTCTGGTAACTCACTACACTGGAGAGCTGGTTGGATAAAAAAAAACAAAACACAAAAGTGCACAGTATCTCCCCCTACAATGCTGTCTTTTAGCTGTACCAGTTCCCTGATCTGACCCTCCCCCTTCCCCATGACTGAACAGGCATGTGTACTTGCACAATAGAGGTAGAAGCTGCTTCTGAAAGTAAAAAATAGAAAATATCAAAAGAAAAAATCATTAACAATCACTCTTCCCTAGCCCCCAATCCATAATGAATTATGAACCAAAAACTCCTCATACAATAGGGGCTTTATGATTTCCTATGGCAAGGTTCTAACAATGAAAGCATCCCTGGATAATATTGGTTTTAAAGCTTGACATTATCACCACAACTTAGGGGCAGTTTTACCTCTTTAACATGAGTGTGAAAGGACACAGACATATCCAGCAGGATCTTGCGCTGCTCCACACGCCTAACAAAGTCCTGTATCCGGTCTTCAAGCTGATGGGCAGCTTGATAAATTTCCTCCGGGTCACACTCCCCAGTCTGAGCAAGCTGTTCTGCTGCTTCTAGGAGCTTATCTGCGTTGGTATACGTGTTCTGTAGAGAGATAAGTTAGTTTCACAGGATTAAATGACAGAAAAGTCACTCGGTATATTTTGAAGCCATTCCACTAATGAAAACAAAACAACAAAAGGGCCCTTGGAATGCATTTTGCTTTCTTCTTTTCTTAAAGGTAGCAGAAAATAATCTTACTGAAGATTTTGTTATATTTCTATATACTTTTTCCTTTTACTCTGAATAAATAGATTCCTTAGCTCCTTATTAATGTCTATCAAAATATTACCTTGATCTAGAACTTGTGAACCTATTTATTCTTTGATGGAATTGGTATTTTATATTCACAGCTAGAATAAAAACCAGCCCAAATGCCTAACTACTTGCAAACTGGCCTACTTCAATACTGGAAAAATCACTGGAGCCAGAGATAGAAGACTTTTCAAATATGTATTACTAGAAGTGAAGAAGCTCTAGCTGCTGGTAGAAATGCTTAACATCAAGTCTACACATCCAGCAGAAAGGTGGAAAGTGACCATGCACAGAAATAGAACATTTCTCTCCATCCTTACACAACTGAGGCATCCAAAATTCATGTGTCACATGGATCATTATTTGCGAAATGGCAACAGCATACAAAGATTTAGAAGTCAGTTATGTGTGAGTGTCAGAGTGGAATATTGACCCAATATGTCATAGGATTAACAAATGTAAATCAGCAGGCCTCTAAGAGATGTGGGTCTAAGCAGAAAAAGAATGGAAGTCTAGTACCTGATGTGCTGATCCAGAGAAGAGACAGATGTTTAACAACGCTTAAAGCTTAAAATTTGCAGCCTGCCTCTGTATTGTTCATTCAAAATAGGTCCAAGTCCAAGCATTTGTTATATTTGGGCGCTCTTTTTCAGCCCAACCTTGGGTTTTCACATTTTAGAATGCTTCTCAAAACAAACTCAACAAGAAAGCTTAGAAGGATGTTAATCTCTGGACAAAACAGACTGAAGTCTAGACTAAAGAAGCTTTGCTTATGTCACCACATCAGGTCTTCTGGTAGGTTTGTATTACAGACTGAAAAAAAAAAACAAAACCAAGACAACAACAACAAATTCACCTTTCTCTTCTCCCTTCTGCCCTTTCACGTACTCTCAACCTCAATTACATCAGGTAAAAACACTGCTTGCCAACATAAATTAAGCCTATGCAAATGCATTTCTCTTTGCCATAAATATAGCATTACACCTCCAATTAACATTATAATATCCACAAAAGTTAAATCCAAGTCTGACCCTGAAACTGAACTAAGGGGCAGGAAATAAGAGCTCTCCCCCAGGTTCTCAAGCAAATTACCAGACAAGCCCAGGACATGACTCACTGCAGCTTTCATATATTTGGGGGGAGTTCCCCCTTTGTTTATTAAGAACTGTTTATATAAGGAATTGAATCGATGCTGCTCCTTAATTTTGACTATGTACATCTCAGCCTTTCCTCAACCTTCTGCTTTTTAACTGCATGGAGAGGTAGAGAAGGCCTCCCTGGTTTCCCTGGGAAAGCCTGCAGAGACAAACATTAGCTTACCCTATGCAGTAGGGAGCACACTACTCAACACTCCAGACCACTGGCTCGAGCCATGTTGGCCCAAACACAGCGATCTGTGCTTTGGTGTTTTGACTTCCATGGTTGCAGCTCACACATGTTCAAGGGGCAAGGCTGAAGAGCCTTAAGGCACTCCCCGAACAACAACTACTTCATCAGTCCAGAGAACCACACCCAGCTGCAGATGGCTGAAACAGAAGTTTCCCATTTTAATGAAAACTTTATCTCACATGTGAAGCATTGTTTACAAATTCCAGGAGTATCTTCCACGTTACACAGGCCCAGGCACATCTAACTTCTCTTTCTGTAAATGGGATAGTGAACTGCCTGTACTCAGAAATGATCACAACCTGGATGCTGCTTCAAAAGGGGTTACAATTGTCAAACCTAGCAGCAGACATGCTTTATCGCTCAAATTTCACTTCTAAGTAGAGCTGAAATATAATACAAACATTAACTGCCCTTTGGAATAGAAATCCTAGCAAGTAGGTGCTCAGTACTAACTACTACTTCCTTTCCAAGCTCTCTGCTTATTTCTAAACAATGCTTGGAAGAAAAAAAGGCAGTAATCTTAAGATTTTGAAAATGCTGGTCTCAAGGGGCAATCACCGTTAGAAAATAGAAGGTTAGGCAGAAAAAGCAGTTCTCCCTTGATGCTGCTTATGCCAATTTCCTAAATTGCCCAAGGAGCCTTCACATGGAAAAAAACATCAGAATATCTATACTAGCACACCCTCCCCAAATCCCAGAGGAAAAGAAGCAGCCTTGTAAGAGCATCAAGACAATCTGTAGTCCATCCTTCTGTGCCCCAAGGTATGAATCTTTTAATAGGCATTCTTCTCCACAACGCTGAAAAATTCTCTGCAACAGTTTACCACCTTCCCCAACATATTCCATCACTTTTCTAGTCTTCCTGTTGAGAAACCTTTTCTAGATACTCTTCACAAAAAACAAACACCATATTCTTAGAAAGCATATGAAGTGACACATCATAGAAAACCCAAAGGTTAAATTTAAGAGACTAGTGAAGAAATGAGTACTACTGGCAATAAATACAGCAACAGAAGTGAGTGGAGGTATGGACTGAACTTCACACAAACTAGAGTTTATAGCACTATGGAGAGGGAAGAGAGACAACACATGGATGGAGAGAGATTAACAGGTATACAAATCATTAAAGGTGGGGAAAATTAAGATAGATTACTCATCAAGTACAGTGGATGCTATCACATTTAAACATCAGACAACACACTTGAAATGAAAAAGCAAAGTACTTTTCATCTAAGGAGCAATTAAATTGCATAACTCGTTGCCACAGGATCTGGCATACATTCCAAGGCCATAAATGGGTTCAAAAAGTAGCTAGCCTAGTTAAGGAGAGAAAAGTCCATCAGCAACTATTAAACACAGGTTCTGATGCATCCTTCAGTTCCAACATCAAACAAGCCCAGACAATGGGGAGGGTAAAGGTAACTTTTTAAGCATACAGTCCCTTTTCTTTCTTACAATACAGTAAGACATGGACCTTTTAATTCCATGTATTACAACCATTCACAGGTAAAGTTCAGAACCAGTTCAAAAACGTAAAATTTATTTATCATCTTAAAGGAGATGGGAACTGGTGATGGTAGGGAAATGAAAGGTGTATTCAAACAAGATTTAGAAGAATTTTCTCGGTGCAAGAGATGCACGAGAAAGACTTGAGTTCTTTACTCAGATACAGTCTGGACATGGAGAAAAGAACTTACCTGTGGAAAAAGATCCCATTAATTAACCCTTGCCATACACCTATCATGTTTTTTGAACATAGAGTACTGTCAGAAAGCAGACATAGATCATAGTTGAAACAGGAAAAGCTGACTTAGAATTTCACACAAAAATGCATGGGGAAGTACAACCACAATATTGACCTGTATCCAGTGCTTCTAAGCTGAAAGTCTATGCCCATAAATGAATCAGTTATGCCAAAATTTGGAGAATTGGCACTTTGACTTCAATGGTGTCATGGACACAACGATGATCATGGGGAGAGGGGAAAAAAGAAAGAAAAAAAATGGGTAAGTAGGAATTGAACTGGACAGGCTTTACACAAAAAGAGCAGCACAATTTTACAAGAGTGGGTGCAAGTTAAAGTGTGTATGTGTAGCACGAATATCAACACACCAGAATTGAGGGAGGATTACTAGCTGAGTTTTGACTATCTAGTTTCTGTAGCGGTAACAAAAAGTGTCAAACAAAGAGAAACAAACCTTCATTTCACACAAATTTTAAGTGAATAATTTGTGAGCCCACAGCCCATTGACTCTGCAACATCTTTTCTATTCAACACACAGCTTATTTTAACATCTCTTTGAATGCTGTTGAGGAAATGGCACCTCATTCACATTAAAAAAAGAATGAGGGAGGAAGCAGAAAGAAAGAAAAGTGAAATAACAATGTTCATTCCCCTCAAAATCAGGAGTTAGCCTTCAATCAGGAACATTTCAACATTACTGCTGACTCCCTGCATTGGCTAGAACATTGCCATGCCACTGACACTTCACTTGACACCACCTTCTCTAAACTTCTGACTAGAACTGACTGAAACCCCCATTATTATGCCTAAGGCCCTATTAAAAACAAAACAAAACAAAATTACAGCAAAAACAACAACACAAAAATCCAAAACACAGCAAAGACCTGGACCAACCAGAAATGTAGGTAGAGAATAAGTCAGCTGAAAGTTATTCATGCTTTAACAAGGACTGCAGATTGCTGTCTTATACTTGAACATAATCTCCTTTATAACAGCAACAACAGCAATGCCTTTTGGGGCTGCTTATATCCAGTTTTAGACCAAGTAAGAGGAACAACTCAGAGGGTGTGCCTCTCTTGGCAGTCACTCACTATGCATTCGAGAGTTAGAGATTAAAAAAATACTTATTAGATCATTTTGTCCATCCTTCTGGCAATGGAAGATAGTCCCCAGTAGTGCATTTAAGTTCTTTGACCAATCTAAGTTTTCAGTGCCTCCAAATATAGAACATTCACTCATCCCCTAAAGAGATAATTTCAAACTCTAGTAACATTCAGATTTAGGATGTTTTTACTAAAAGAATGCTTTACAATTTTTGGCTTTAAATTATAATGCAAATTGACAAGACACTTTTTAAAATAGTTTCCATCTCACTAGCAGCTCTACATGCTTCGGCCCCTTTGGTTACTCAAACATTTTTTTTCTTCTTTGCTCAAATAACATAGCATTAAGCATGAGATCATTCAGGTTTTGTTAAGTGTCTTACAGAAGAAATAGATTCTTGATTGTCTGACCCAGAAGAATAAGTATATCCACATGGAAAATATTACACTTTTTACTAAAAATGCAGTATTAGACATGCATATGGAAAATCCAGCATGTGTATCTACAAAACTAACAATGTCTATTATCTTCGAAAATTTTATAGGAAATCAATACTGAGGAAGCTTTCTGATGCAATTTCAAGTCCTCAGTCACTGCAGTGCTCTAAGACCATATTTAAAATAAAATTTTATCACGAGCTTCATCTTCCACTCAACAGGCAAACTGTAAACACACTTCTGATGCACCCGCCATAGCAGGTATCACTGCTGAGCTCCTACATGTCACTGGAGAATTTTCAAATAAAATGTCTTCTGTTTTAAAACTGAAGGACCATTCTATCAACCCTACCGTAAGGAGATTTTTGTTGATTAATCTTAAGAGATGTTTGCTCTTACTGATCATTAAGACTGGAGAGGCAGGGCTTGTTAAATGGGGAGGATTCTAGCCCTCAGTTTCCTTCAGAGGATTTTATTCACCTCACATCCCTTTTTAGAGGCTGACACCCAAACCAGCTTCCTGTTATGCTCCCTGCACTCCTTTGTATCTCTATTACTTTTGAATCTTTTTCTCACACGAATGTGTGTTTTGAAGTTTTACCATCAGTTCCACTTAAGATTAAAACTTCCATGGAGTCTTTTATGGAAAAAGCATTGGTATTAGTGACTCAGAACAGGAGGGCAAATACAAACTCAACTGTATTTGAAGCAAAAAACCCAGGCCAGGCTGGCCAGTTTCCTGGTTCACCTGGATTCTTAGGAATCCCCACCCTTTCTCCCCATGAGACTGTGGTGAGGACTTGGGAGCTCCCCAAGCTAACAGTCAGAAAGCAGAACTTTCAGTTCATCTCTATCCTCTCTTGCAGGCTGTAGAGAAGTTTAAATCCTAGAATCCCATGGAATCAAGTTATTTTAAAAGGAGAGCTTTCATTCTTCTGTGAATCAATATCTGAAAGCACGCTTTTGAAAACAGTAATAATAATAATAATGATAGTAATAAATAATAGCAGAGCAGCTCTGTTGTGCTGAGTGAGACTCCCACTCTGTAGGACTGTGGAAGTTTCTTTTTCTTATCAAAGTTGGAGCACAAATGAGAAATGAAATAAAAACTTGCAACAGAAACAAAGTTCTTCATTCGTGGAACTGACTGTTTTGTAATGGAGCTCCCTCTGCCCAACCCTTCAGTGCAAAAGCAGGAAATTTTCATTTATTTCCATGACAAGTGTACAGTCCTTCATGTGATTGCTTTTACCTGTGCAACCTCTTCAAAGTCTTCATGGCGTTTCTGCAAAGCTCTGGCCCGATGCAGGGATTTTCCCACTCCTGTATGTTTGCTAAGAAAAGCTTCTCCATGGTTTTCAATCCAATCCAACACCTGTGGTACAGAAGAGAGACACAAAAACTCTGAATTGACGTGCTGAATGTTATCACAAAACAGCAACTATTCAAGAAACTAAGTAGCTATAAACAGACTGCTTTTAAGGAACTATACTGTTGGATTAAAACACAGTGTTGCTATTAAAGGACACAAACTACATCTCACCAACTTTTCTCAAGGCAATAAACTAGCTCAAACTAGCAAAATAGTATGATTTAAGATTATGTATTTATTTTGAAGCCTACCAAGGACAACCTCATTTCTCCACATTCATCAATTTGACAGTAATCTGATCCAAGTGGCAAGACCCTTTGTGATGGTCTCTCCAACCTGTTTACACCCTGAGCTGACATTTTTCTATAATGTAATACTGATGGAGTTTGAACATCGCTGGTGAATAACACAGTGAAGTTTCATTTTAGATGAGAACTTGCTTTTCCTTCTATATATTAAGTCAAGAATTAAGATTCAGTACTACAATTTTTAGCTAACACAAGAAAATTGAGTTGAAATAATTGCAAGATAAAGGGTGTCTGCATTCAGAGCATATGAAGGAATTGTCCCAATTCTGAAAAAATATCCCCTCAAAACTGAAGTATCCCCTCAATCCCTGCTCGAATAAGGAGGTCGGACCAGATGACCCACTGTGGTCCCTTCCAACCGAGCTGATTCTGAGATTCTGTAAAACATCAGACATAATTGCTTGTTGTCAGTTTTACAGCTGAAAAAGTAAGGAACAAAAGACATTAAGGACATGAATGCTTCTACCACAATGATTGGGTTGACAGCTTTATAAATAGTAAAAACTGCACACTTAAATAGTTCCTGCCAGTTAACACAGAGGATTCCTGCACACATACCAAATTTCTGATGAGCCAACGAACAAAACCATCTGATCTCTCTCCAAATTAATACATCCTAGCCATATCTTAATTCATTAGTTAGCATGCATATGGTATTTAATGCTTTGGAAGATACTCAGAAGTTCAAGAATGATGTTCAGAATTAAAGATAACTGCATATAAGCAATTCTCTTAAGTCAGCTAACCATTTTTATACAGTATTTATGTAGTGGTGCAGAATACTTTACCTACATTCACTCACTACATTACGTTCATTCATCGCCAATGTTCTTTTTTCTTTAAAACAGTAATATTTTAGTTTGTTTTGAATATACCTTTCAAAAGCCTGTAGCTTGCCTCTTATTTACTAGTGTCCTTTACTCCAATTTCTGCAGTTGTGTGAGGTTTTACCCCCACCCCTCCCTTTCCTGTACTGAAAACATTTGACACTTAGTGTAACTAAAGACTTTTTTTTTTCTTCCAAACAGAATCATTCCTGCAACATCACTCATGACTACATTCAATAAACATGTAATCTCACACTACTTCCATACAAAACATTCATGCTTTCTTTAGGAGAAAAAGGAAAACATGCTTTTCTCCTTGATCTTGACCTTTCAAACCTTTTTTGGTTTGCAAACGCTCTCCTACTGGACATCTTCAAAACAACAAACAATCCCCTAATACCACAAAATACAGCCATCTCAAATCACCAACACTTCGTTAAATCTCCACACTTATGCAATGTTTGCTTTCCTGGTAACTACTGCCAAAAGAATATCATTGTGTTTTAGGTCAATGCAAGTTTTCATTTGCTTCTTTCAAGGGAAAGTATTGATCAAAGAATGGAGAGTGAGGAGCCAAACATGGCCTCAGTTACCTGTAAAACTTACATTATTAACACTTTTGACTAATTTCAGGAGACTGCTTTGCTTTTCTCATTATAAAAAGAGCTAAAAAGAGATATGTTCGTATGAAAGAATTAGACTGGACTCTGGAGACTACTAACAGTTATAAGCTAACAAATGAAATCAACAGCAAAAGCAGTCCCAGAAAACATGGGATGAAAAGCAGAAAGAAGCCCAGGGAGAATGGTTTTTGCTCCAAATAATGCTCAGCAACTTCTCAAGGGAAGAAATTGTCATAGAAATCCAGTACACATAAACCACACAATCAGAGAAACATTGCTGCCTCTAAGTGAAATCAGCATGAATACAAGTCTTATTAGTGCTCAGCCTTCTTACCTTGATTCTTAACAAAACTAGGAAGAATTCTTTATCTGGGAATTTTACAGCATGTAAAGGCGGAGTCAACATATGCTCTTGGCCACCAGTGAGAGCTTTTGCATATCGCTTCGATCAAAGGACAATACCATTAGCTGGCACTGGTATTAGCCATTTATCAGCCTTAACTTATGCTTTTTCTTCCTCTTCCTGGGAGGAGTTACAAAAATCATCATACCAACTCACTAAGGACTTTTCTACTAAAACTGAAAGCAAATGGAATTCACTCTGATACTTCAGTAATACATAGGAGTTTAAGAGGTTCAACACTTTTCAGTGAAAGGGTGAATAATATCATCCTCCACTGCAGCGAGTTGCTTTAATGATGCAATTAAGCTCTAACTGCAGTCACAGCAGAACCATCCTTATGCCCAATACACGATCTAGAAAAATCCTTATTTTTCTAGCACCAAACTGAATATATCATAGAAGAAACTACCATAGAAAGACAGCTTCATTTTGACAAATTCATGACTATAAAAATATGTTTTGTCTATGCTGCTTGTAGAAATAAATCTATCTTTTGCAGATTCAACATGCTTATTTTCACCAATCTTTCCCACATTATTATCTAGTCATTACCCCCCCACACCCCTTTACCTACTTTGCACACACTCACTTTCTGGTCTCCAACACTTACTTGCTGCTGTCATAACATTCAGAAGGGGAAGATGGAAACCTCTGCATGTCTAATCTTCAGACAGTTAAAATGTGGAAATACTCTCCCCCCAAAAGAACTGTTTTACACTGGAACTGCCTTCAAAAAGCCACACGGGAATCACCCAGTGAAATCATGTTGATGCTGAGAAAGTAGCAAGCATTCATGGCCCACCCTTCATTAGTCCAGACTGAAACTAGTTACTGTAATAGCAAAATCATGACAGTCTTTGAGGCAGGAAGATCCAGGAAGGAAAAGCAGCACATTTATCCAGAATGGACAGAGAAGACACCAAAGGCCAGTAAGAGCTAATAAATATATGTCTTGGATAAGAAAAAAAAACAAACACCTACCAGTATGTTGTACTAATCTCTGGCTTTCAAGCCACCAGGAGTGTTTTTCAGGCACCAAAACTCTGATCACACAAGTGTTAGCAGTATCAGTCTACCACAAATACTATCTTTATGTTCAAATGTTGACCTTTCAAGGCATAGAAGCACCAAAGTCCACGTTGCCATTCCAGGTCTGCTTTATTGCTTCATGTCACAATCAGAGCCAGCTCCTTTCCTTAGGTGAAAGGCTGGCTATATTATCTACTTGGTAAGCGTGTTAACTCTTAGGCATGAAATTATACTTTTATCAGCATGGTTTACATTACAAGGACTACCTTCAACAACTGAGTGCAACCACAAATGGGCAGACTTCTTTGAAAAATTAAAATCAACACCCTATTTTTTTTGGTGTTAATACACAAACTAACCAGGAACTGGATCTCTGGGCGTGTTTCTGTTACCTAAGGTCAAATTCAGAACTCTATTAAGACTATCATAGGTTTTCACATTTAAAATTTCTGATTTGCTGTGATTCACTTCTTATCTCCTATTTTTATTATTTCGTGCACTACTTTCCTTACTACTTGCCTCAAGAGATTAGCAGGTGATTCTTGGTGTACACAGATAGCACTACAATGCTTTTGTTGATTTGGAAAGCTCCACTAGAAACACTTTCTCAGTATACAAGAACATGCAAGACAAATAAACCCTGCTAAGTTTCTAAGGTGGAAGTAACAGAAAGTACCAGCTCAACACAGCCAATTCCCTCCTCCAACTCAGCTATGTCACTCACTTAACACTTCCATGAACTAATTTATTTCATTAATCCAGCAGAAAACAACACCAGCAGAGGGAGGAGGACAAAATCACAAACTTGTGCTAAAGGACTTTATAGATTCACTTACACTGCACTTGGTTGCTTGACACTATGTATAATTTAACTATAAGCAGTGGAAGAGAGCCACGCTTAGTTTATTTTGACATGAAAAAAACTTCCATTTAACTTTACTAGCCATAATTAAAAAAAGGTTTGCATGTTAGTTTCTAAATCATGCTTGATAATCTTAATTGAATTTTTTAAGGTTTGAACAAAGACTAAGAAGCCTAAGAGAATGTGCAAACGAAAACCAGCGTATTTTAGAAAGTTACTTTGGAGTCCTATGTAAAGCATTCCAGAACTGTCTTGGATATAAATTTAACTAATACCTCAAAACTGAGTCACTTCAGGCACTGAATGGTGTTAATGATAATTCAATTGAAAAGCTAACATTTCTCAAATAAATTAAGATGATCTGTTCTGCTTTCATTTTGTAAGAAAAAAGAATACTTGTTATTCAAGATGACTTTTTTCCCCCCTGAAGAATGTTCAAAGCTGAGGGAGCTACAATCTGCCAAAGCAAAGCTCCTCCATGGAAACATCTGCTGTGGCTATTGGATTAATTTATCTGGTATGGATGTTGAAGTGTCATTGTCTCAAATTTCAGTGCAGGTCAATCTGTAAGTATGAAATCTATATTATGAAAGGGCGAATTAAGCACAATTCACATTGTGATTCATAAGGCAGTGCCCAAAACACACCAGTATCTGTAAAGTTAAGTTAAACCAACAAAAAAAGGAGCTGTATTTCCATATGCAACATTTCAGAAGTTGTCATTACAGGGATAAACTGTCTCTGGCAGCGGTAACTACTGGATATTAAGGGAAGGGCTTATGAACATGGCAAGCAGGGGCTGCATCTCTGTACAGACCTAGTCTGAAATTTCATGTGGTTGACAAAGATGTGCATTAACACTAAAAGCTGTAGCTTCAAACTGTCCAGGTATCTTAATGCAATGTCTGCCTTGCAAAGCATATAGAGAAACCACAAGCATAAACAGGAAGAAAGAAATTTCTCCAAGCAGTAGGTAAGGCAAGTACTGAATAGTAAGTTGAGATGGATCAACCTTCTTGAACTAACTGGTTCATACTGAACACTTCTGGTATACTCACATTCCACATATATGATTTGGATAATGCATTCTTGATATTGGAAGTTATAAAAATAGCTAAAACTGTCTACTTTGTTGTTTTCAAATCTGTGACTACTTGATCTTAAATGCATCAATTCCAAAGGCTGATGGGCCTCATACAGAGAAGGAAAATCTAGCTTCTTGCTGAAGAACCTGGTGGTGACTGTACTATGACTTGAGTCTAATGAAGGGTTATTTGCCAACTTCAAAGAACACAGCAGTCTGAGAACTATGACTTCAGAAGGAGCAGAAAATGAAAATTTCCTACAAGCATTTTATGACTCCCCAGATAATAAAGGCAAAGAGTAGGAACAGCACAGTAAGACTGCAACATTTAATGAACACCTTCCCCCAGGAAATAAACTGCCTGCAGCCTGGCCTACAGGCCTGAAACTTGAATTATGCACCTGGAAAATGACCTCAGGAGATCACTCGGCCTAGATTGCCTAAGTAGGTCCTACTTAAACTGAACTGGAACTAGAGGAGAAAGTTCTACCATCCAATTCACATTTGCTGGCACTAAACTACCACTGAGAAGACCTATATTTTTCCCTATGAGAAGCAACCTACTGCTTTAATTTCAGTTTCTGAAGACTCTTTATGAAGCCTTTTAAGTTTAAGAGGTGATTCATTTGTGGACTGTGCCTCAGCAGTTTTGACAAGTACCCTTCACTGACTACTCATGCAAATAGCAGCACTGGGCCCTTCTGACTAGCTACTACTTAAGTTGTAATCTTGATGACGAGCCTCAAGGATTTATACACTGGCATAAGAGAGTTTTCTGTTTGGTTCTCCATGCTGTTCCAGACCATTCATAACATTGACCCTGCTTTCTTTCACTTTTTTTTTTGTTAGCCCAGATTTTTCATGCCTTTCTGCATCCTTTGTCACATCTGAGTGTTGAGAATTTGGATAACAGCCTGTCTTTCAATACATGCCTATTTTTAGATTTAAGAAAGGAATAAAGTTCTAAAAGGTTTACTTAATTTACTGCTAAAATACTTAAGTTTTCTTTAATTTACAGGAAGAGATAGGCACTGCATGTAGAAGAAAGTTGAGCTAATGAGATTGCTCACTCTGCCCACCATCTGCCTAAATTATTTTTTTTACCTATACTAAGTTACAAAAATCAGTTACTTCACTCCCAACTGCTCACATCCAGTAACTTCTTGAAACAGGTAAGTGGAAGAAATTTGGCTTAAAGTTCAACTAATTCGAAAGAAAAAAGATTCGTTTAACCAGAATGCATGCCTGGCTATCTAAAAGTCCCATTCAGAAATTCCTGATTTGTGAACATTTTTACACTGAAATGAAACAACATGATCAGTAAATGCTTGACCATCTTTACTTTTTTATGAAGGTGAACTATTAAAGGATAAATCACTAATGTCTCTGTCAAGTGCAGCCCTAAGGCAAGATTTTCTGTTTATTAAAAATCCATCAGCCAAGGGATTCTATATAGCTTTGCCTTTTTAAGGTAAAACAACATTAGAGATACTAATGACTGTACTTAACTACTAACTTTTCATGGATGTCATATTAATAATAAAAATATGGCAGCTAATAACCATTAATTTAAGAACAGTGTCATTATCCAAAAGTAATCTAATCTGTAATTTTTGTAACTCCTTTGTATACTACTCTCAGGTTCTAAAGAAACATGATTAAGTCAATTAAGTATCACTGGGGATTTGAAACTAAAAATTTGTTAAAGAATAACACTGTTAAGTTTTTGCATGTTATTGCTACAAGTCTGACACTTTGAGTCCAGAATTTTACCCAGAATGTGAATGTCAGCTTCCAGCACAAGCTCAGAATAGCTGTCTGAAACAAAAATCTTTGGTTTTATATCTGGCTTAAAGTAAATAAATTAATTAAAAACTGACTAAACTGAAGTAGAGCTAACTTACCAATATATTTACTATCCATAACAGCCAACATCCTCTGTTAATACATAGAACTTGGTATCAGTCAATCCCATGCAACTATTCAATTGCTGAATGAACGAACACAGGGTTTAGTAGTCAAAACCCACCTGTCAACCCAATCAGCTTGAAATCACAGGCTGACAGAACACAAAGGCACTTAGACAACATGAAATAAAACCCACCTGTTGAACATCCTGTTGAAAAACGCACAGCTGAAGCCGCTGGTGCAAGCGGACCTTGCGATGCTGCCAAATATTTTCCAGTTGGCGTTGGTGGTGCAGTACTTCATGGATGACATCCAGAACATGATGAACTGCTTTTGAGTAGTTGGCAGAAGCAGTGAGGGAATCAGAACTCCCAGGAGTCAAAGGTCTCTGAAGTTTGTCAAGAAGTGACTTCCCATCTTGGCTCACCTGACCATCAGAAAGGACAAAGAATTACTTGTCTTGCCAAAACCGTGTTAGGCTACTATTTCGTTCCCCACCCTCTCTCCCCATTTTAGATGTCTTCAAGAACTCAGAGAGCAGTGATGAAGACTTTTATTTTATTGGAGGCATGATTACATATGGGCAGCTGTTACAGGAAGATTATATTCTTCTATTTCAAATAGTGTTTAACTACTGATGGTAACAAGAAACATTAGTCATTTCTAATTGTTGTCTTCTCTGATTTTAGAAAATTATATTCTTCTTCTATTTCAAATAGTGTTTAATTACTGATGGTAACAAGAAACATTAGTAATTTCTAATTGTTGTCTTCTCTGATTTTAAACAACAGCAGAAATACTCAGATTTACCTTGCATGCTAAATAAAAAGCAATAATCCTGTCTTATTTGGTCACTATTAACATTTAGCACTTGCCAAAGCTATTGAAAGCACTGTTCATTGGCATTTAACTGTTCTGTCACTCTTAGCATGAAGCTCAGAGAACTGTTACAATTCAGCATCACTCAGCTACCTGGAAAGAACTTTTCTAACAGCTCAGCTAGTAGGCAGGAAAAAACACCTGAAACTGTAAGACTGCAATGCAAACAATACTGAATCCATCAAATCAACACCATATCTGAAACAACAAATTTGTCAAGGCCTTTCCCCGGTGACTATTTTCAACAATTTTTTACCAAAATCAGGCACATTTTAAATTTGCTATTGAGTAGTCAAATAAATCTAAATGAAAACTATTTTCTAATAATTAGATTACAGGGGAGTTTATTTCTCAGTTCCAATTTACGCTTTCATATTAATAGTGAGTATCAACACAGAGAATGAAGCTCACTTTTGAAAGGAACTCCTGTAAGACAAGTAAGACGGAAAAAGTTCATAGTCCACAGTAATACTTATGTGGGTTTTTTTTACTTTTATCTCAAAGAATTATCTAAAAACTTGTTCAAATATTTCAAGATAATAGACTTCAATTACCTATTCAGAGTCCATGAAATTTAGGGGGGGTGGAAATAATTAATTGTGACAGACCCTTGATCTGATTAGTTTATTAGCTTTACAAACAAATGATCATGCACAGTTTTTTCATTGGAGTTAATATAGTAAAGTACATGACAACCTTAAGACTTCAGTGAGATGTACAACTTCATTTATACATATAACTTCATTTAAGGCACAGCTATTGGATTTTCAGGCACACCAGTTAGCTAAGCTTGTAAGCTAGCGAGTTACTTTTCTTATAATATACAGTAATTATCTACAGTAAAATCAGACTGTCTAGTCTTAAAAGCATTTGCTCTCTTAAAATTACTGTCTTCTACTTTGCAACCAAGTCGTGTTGTCAAGACATTGTAATCTAAAATGAATGACAAAGTGTTGTAATTTCCATAGTGCTCCTCTCTCTCTTCCCCCACTGTTCATTCATCATGAAATGAAAGGAGCTCCATACTGTAATAGAAACGAAGTCATACATCTAATAATGATAAGCAATAGTGCTGTAATATCTTTACACAGAAAGACACCTCCATCGATCATCAAAAAGGAATGAGTGTTTAAAAAACGCAAAATAAAACCTTCTGCCCAGAGGAAGAGCACGACTTGTACATACACATACAATTATTATTTCTGCATCAGTTCTGGCTGCTAAAGACAAAGCTATTGTTTTGCCAGATGGGGAAATGTAATGACCAGAAAACAGAAGAAAGCACCTAATGCACCTTCTTCTTTGAGTAGTACCAGTGAAGATTTTGTTAAAATTTCTGGCTATCCCAAAGTTAAATTTTACAGCTTTGAAATCCTAAATAAATTTTCAAGGTATTTGCCAGAGTAATCCTATAATCTACCTGTCTCATTAATTTTCATTATACACCACCAGCAAGCAAACAGTATTTAACATACTAATCCATGGTACTTATTTATGCTTAACAGCAGGCTCATCCAGTCACATCCCTGATGAAAAAAAAAAAGCATAAAAGAACAAGCACCCGAAAAAAACAACCAAAAATACCCCCAAACAAAAACAAACAAACAGAACTCAAATAGGGGAAAATACCACTATTTTAACAGGAGCATATTAGAATAATGATTCTAGAGAGATCTAGCCTGCCTATTCCTTGCTGCACTCTCATGACACATGCACCCCAGATTGTCTCTCTCCACATAAACCTACTGCAAATGTGCTACGTTCCTGTCCCTTGTTTTACAAAGGGACCCCCACAATGAAGAAAGGCTATAATGAAGAGAAGAAACCTTACTACAGAACATGCTCTCAAGTGTGAGTTAGAACAGGTATGTGCAGCAATATCACAAGTTTTATCACCCAAGGTGTGCTTTGGTATGTCATTAGATCAGTTGACACAGCAAGTGACGTAAGCAAGAATAGGGATATTGATGTGTATTTTACATGGAAGAACAAGAACTTGTGAACTCTGGACATCTGACTCACGATAATAAAGTTTATTCAGGCCCTAAGATGGCAGGTGTTCAAAAAAACCAGTTTTGATATACTAACAATAGGACTGATCCTCAGCACTAATCTTATCCTCCTTTACTGCTAAATGAAATGTGACCAGCTTTACAATTCAGCTTCCCATGATAGAGTTGGTTCATCAGAAAGTAGTTTACTTACGATTCAGCTTCCCATAATAGAGTTGGTTCATCAGAAAGTAGTTTTATCTTTAATGCAATGTATAAATCACAGCCATTAATTCAAACCCACATGACCTCCTTTTAAAAAAAATGTGCAAGCTGTGGCCTAAGTTATCCTGTGTCCACTGACCATTTTTACCATGATTTAGCCAAAAGCATCATTTTAAATGAGTACAGAAACTACTGTATTTAATCCAGAGTAACATCAGTCCAATTTAACAGCAAAAATAGTTTTACCTCCAATGAGAACAACCCTGGCAAAAGAAAGAAAAGAAAAACAGGAAATGCAAAAAGTAACTGTTAGCTAATAGTGAATACCCATTTGATTACTCACTTCACCTAAGTAAAGCACAAGAGAAAACTCAAAATTTGAAGAAAAATAATAGGCAGTTGAGTCACTGCTTTCTAGGCCACCTTCAGAATAAGCATTTTATCTTAAATTGTACGTACAAATATTAGAAATACTGACAAATATGATTCCATTGTGTGCAGAACCCAAGATTAGAGCAGCAGCATAGGATATGCTAATCTTACAAATGCTGACTACATATGCATGCTGGCTCATTTAAGTGTCTTTGAGGTTGATGAAACTAAATATATTACCTTCTGGCTTGTCAAGTGATGTCCTTTGATGGTTAAGCCTTTTTTGTGAGGCAATTTCAGAGATGGATTTTCAAAACACACTTAAAGCAATCTATGCCAATGGAATGCTTTCCCAAAGAATACCCAGCACACTTCCCTTTAAGTAAGTGTATCATACTGCTATTAAAAGTTAGTAATATGCAAATATAAATTAAGATATACTTAGTACACTGCATGGGTTGTTTGTACCACACATGGTTCCATCTTGCCTTTTCAATTTCTTTCAGAAGATTAAGGGGAAGACTTAACACTTCACTTTTGAACAACAGTAGCAAAACTCAGTATACTAAATTTAAAAAGAAGGCTGCCACTTGAGTTTCCAGCTAATGCACTATGCAAGAAGTGATGCTGATCCATGATCCAAACTTAACATGACATAGTTATGCCTAATTTTTCCTCAGGTACTCTGACACTTACCTCAGAGTAAGCCAATGTAATATGCTCATATATCCCTTGATGATGATGGATAGCATCTTCTAAATCCTGCAGTTCTGAGGGAAGCTCCACCTCACCACAGGCTTTACACCATGAGTCCACATTGCTCATGTACTGCAACAGAGAAAAAACATTCTGCCTGATTTTGGGTTCTATCAGTAAGTACAGACATGTCAGTACTATACCAAAAGACTGGCATCTGTGTGACAGCCATTGAAAACTTTTTTTAAAGGGAAAAAATCTTTTAGATATTTCTCTCTGAACTGACCAAAATTAAGCTTATTTCAGAATAGAAAGAAATATTAAAGTCTGACTCCAATTGTGCTAAAATTAAACTAAATTATCTGTGACTCTTTGAGCCATTCAGAGACAGGCATGCTTAGTAGTATGTTGGCAGTCTTCAGAACCAATTTAACTGTTGTCAATATTGATGCTTCAAGTTTACTCTTGCTCCTTTTCTTGACTTTGCAGCTAAGAACAAGCTTACTTCACCCTGTCCCTACCATTTCAGAAGCATAAAAGCCAATTAAGGTCTTGTCTACACAAGGAGGCAAAACATGCTACAACTTTCAAGTCCAGACCCTCAGTTTTTAACACTGTTTAGATACTCATGGTATGATGAGGTATCACCTCACCTTTTTCTAAGCTTCAGAGAAAACCACATTATTTTGCATATGTGTGCACATGCACTAGTGAACCATTCACTGAAACACCCCACAGTTGTCTTTTGCTGGAAAGAGGTCATCAAGGAGGCAACACAGTGTCAGAGCACAGCAAATTCACACCTCAGTCCCCAAAGCGCTAACTTCTACAGGCAGAGAAGCACTAAATCCATTTGGCAAGCTACTACAGCAGCAAGCGTGTAAGGGATTTACAACTTAAGCAGGGTCTCTTAGGACTAACACTGAACTTTGAGCACACAGCTATGTCAGCATAGCTGCTTGAGTCAAGCCTTTCAGGGGAAATTGAGGATACTGCAACACAATCTCTTCTGCAGACAATTAAAGTTATCTTGAAGTTTAAGCTGTCTCGACAGACAAGAACCTGCCATCATTGCTATATGTACAGAATTTCTGCCAACTTCTTTTTCACAGCTAGAGGGCATATATTCATGTTCTGCCAGGAAAGGGGGTAAAATAATCTTTTTCTAGGAGTTTTCATAGTTGTTAAATCTAGTCCAGCAAGCACATGTGGTCTCCATAAAGTAAATCTGTCCTCTGTTGATGTCAAGTTCAAGTCTCAGAAGTTATAAGAGACCAAGCCACTTCTCTGATCATATGTATCTTAATTCCTGAAGCACAATGTAGTCTTTTGAGGAAAAGGAATCAGCAGATCATTTCTAGTACTCTACTATTGTTTACAAGCTGGGCAGAAGGGTCATAGAGTCCTTAGCTCTAAGATACATATTCAATTCTCATTTCATCAAGGGCCAGTTTAAAAAATCTCTAAGATTATGCACTGAACATTAAAAGAACCTCCATGTGGGACCAGAGTTACATCTCTTACACTGGTCAGCAGGCACTGATAGCTGGGTGCAGTCTTCATTGTTTCTGACAGTAGGCAGCAACACTTACCTGCCACTTGCAAGGGAACACATGCATTCAAGAGGGGTGTGTTATTTCTTTGGCTGCTTACTTTTCAATCTTTTTATGTAGGTCAAGCATTACCAGTCTCTAAAGGGGTCATTCCTCTCATTCCAAACCCTCTTTTCCTTGAACTCACTCTCCACTCTTAATGAAACAGCTAATATATCACAGCCAGGTATCTTACAACACAACTAGGACAATCCATCTCAGTTAATCATAAAATGAAAACCGCAGAAGGAGCAATTAAAAGTAAATTAACCCCAGCAGATGCCGCACTATTTTCTCTCATTCTTATCTTTCTCCTGTTTACACTTATATTTAGTGGTAAAGAAGGTAACACTGACCCTTTTGCTATTGCCTGATGCAATTAGAAAAGCATCAATATTGGTAAGGTACCACTCTGTGTCTATCAAATGCTTCAGGCTGATCAGTGACTTTTCTACCAGAAAATAATTCCTTCATCTCATTTCATGTGGCTTTCCTGTAAAATCTGCTAAAAATATGGATTACAGTAGCATCACTTTATATACTTTACCTTAGTTTGTCTAAGAACATTAAACCAATGTCACCATTAACATAATGAAAAGCAAAGTGTATTTGCATCTTAATATGTTCACATTCCTAATTTCTAGATATTTATGAAGCTAAGTATCTGTGTAGTAGAAATCAGGGAAAAAACTTCTTAAAATAAACTGCACTCTCTAATTCTGCAGTTATCAACTCCCAAGTGCTTCCTTCATTTATTCCAAATTAAAGTTATATCAGACATGAGACTTTTTTTGGCTGCAATTTAGAAAGGCAAATGGAAAGAAAAGTATCTACATGCAGCACACCAGAGCTCCAGTCAGCCATAACCATCTAAGAGCCTCTCCTCTCCAAATTCACCAGGGACATAGAGAGCAGACAGTCTATAATATCAACAGGTGACTCAACAGCACACACATAGCAACTCCTTCAGAACTGAATTCCCTTGAGGGGAAAACATGCTTTCACCATCTAGACTATTAACTTGGGGATATTTATTCCTATTTCCCCTACATATACCTCTTCTCTGGCAGTTACACACAGTTAATGACTTAATTAAAATAATTGGTATCGGCCTAAAGCTAAAATTTTTTTTTTAATATAGGAGAAATCTCTTATGGAATACTAAGTAAACATCTCCCACCACAATTTGAGAATCGGAAGACAGTTAATTAACTTCTCAACTTTCAGGCCAGTTCAACTTACATTTTCTGTAAGCAATTACTATGAGTTAATCTTGACACTCCAGGACCAACTGGGGTGGAGTGGTGAGGACAACAGAACAAGTGATGATTTCTGGATGTAGAAAAGGCATTACATTATATTGAGACTTGAAAGGTTTATATAGCTAATCATTTATGTCCATTTCATTTTAATTCATATAGCTAATTTGGTTGTTTTATCTTGTGTTGATAATGGGCAAAGCATTTTGTGAAGAATATAAGGGCACTGGGCTATACCAAGGAGAACAAGTTTTTGTTTGAGTATCAGCCGAAATTGGCAGAAATAAATGTTTCAGCTTTCTTGCCAACCTTTTCAATTACTTCCTTGTACTTCTGCCTAAACCAAAAACAAACAGGAAAACTCACCATTCCAGCACAGGAATTTCTGTTGGTGCCTTCCCCGTTCACTAACCTGTTCAGCCTTCTGATGGAAAATGGAGGACATATCCAGTAACGTGCTACGTTCATCCAAGGCTGCAGCAAATGCCTTCCATTCTTGCTCCAACTGACTAGCAATCTGTTTTATTTGCTGTGAAGCATAATGGCCAGACTCGATCAGACGATTTGCTACTGACATGATGCGGCTGATGTTTACATACACATTCTATGGAGAAAAAGGAGGGGAAAAAAATCAGTAGAAGTCAGCAGACCACTTAAATGCAGAGGTGTATTTCTACAGTTCTATTTTATTCCAGTACTGCTTAATAGGCTGGTTTTATTTGTGAAGTTTGTGCACGCCAAACTTTGGAATCTCAGTGTATAATGTAACAGCCTATCTGTAACTGCCAAGTGAGAAGGACAACTTGAACAATAATCAGAGTCTAAAACTCACATGAACAGTCAGTTTAAGCAAACTCACATTGTATGAAGACACATTATTAACCACGTTTTACAACAACTTCAATTAAAATGTTTACAGACGCTCAAGTCAAAAAGACATTCAGACACACAATATAGGAAAATCAAAATATAATTAGTAAGCTCTTTATCTAGCCACAGTATCCATGTGTGTAACATCATTCTAGAAACCTTTACATCAACTTCTGAGAGTAACAAAATGAAGACCTCTGAGTTCTAAGAAGTTCTACATTTTTTGGTTTTATTTTCCTACCACTGTATTACCTCAGAGCTAGCACTGAAAATTAGACAGATAAGGTCCAAGATCAGAAGTATTCCCTAGCATATTGGCATTACTCACTGATGGCTCTTAGTCAGTTTAGTTTTCAGTCAAGAGTTTCCGATTCCTGCAAAGCCAGAAACAAGAACAACTTCACCACCAGAAGGTTTCCAAGTAGCTCTTCCAGAGCTACATGTTTACAATACTGTGTTGACACGTCTTTCAACTGGGCTGACACTCCTATATACAGAATCAAGTTCTTAGAATTACAGGATTGCTGAGATTGGAGATCTAGTGCAACCACACAGAGCATCTCAGGTGGAACCATTACCTGCTGGCATCCAGCCACTGCCCATCCCCTAGCACTGACTGGCTGGAGCAAGTGTTGCAGTTCTTCCAGGCTTCATTGCCCAGACTCAAATGAGCGGCAATTAGCACACGCCACCGTTAATTGTAAACATACATACATATGCATGTATGCAAGCAGAAGCATACCTGACACAGTCTAAACCTCAGCTAGGCCACTTAAGAAATTGAGTACAGCAGTGTCATGTTGGCTCTTTTTCCTTTCTCCACAACACTCCCTTTTCATTTTTTTGGTTATCCCACACATCTATGTTCTCCTCTCAAGCACAGCCAACCAGAAGAGAACGAAACTGCTATTTCCAATAATTTTTAAAAGACTGGAGAGCATTTAGGCCTGTTACAGTGTATGTAGCATAAATACAAGACTGCTAAATGAATCCAGAAAGGCATTACACAGTCTTTACAGTTGTGAGAAAAAACAAGTGTCAAAGGAGGAAAGAATAAAGGCTATAGTAGACTGACACTTGAACTCCTTCTGTATCATAATAAAAGAATTCTGAAAATTCTGGCACGCCAGTTAAAAATAAAGGAAATTACTTACAATAATCTAAACCTTTTACCTCACTACATGATACAACTACTAAAAGTTAAAGTTCCAGTATTTCAGAATGCAATGGCCCAAGAGACAGATTCAGTTAAGGAGAAAAGGAATCTCCAATAGTAACTCACTACAGTTAGACTTTCTTTAATTGATACTTGAAGGTTAACAAACTTTGTTCAGTTTCCTACAATGGCAGGTCCAGTGTCATTACTATATGACAACTGCACATTCTGTGCACTGCTTGAGAAATGAGAAACACTGCTACAAGTAAGCTGGTGCATATTCCCCAGGGACTGATATCTTACTCATTGCATGGATTTACATCCTCATTTTAGTTAAGGAAGCAACAGCTATGAGGTCATAACTGTTAAAGACTTGTTTAGTAATCTCATTTACATCATGTGAATTTGCATGGAGCACCTGCAGCTTCTAAATGTGTATTAACTGTCTCAAAAGTGAAAGGCTAAAGTGATACTATATTTCTTTCACTGTGTTACACACATAGCCATTCTAACAAGAAGAAAAAGGGAACAATTTGAGTTAATACATACTGTAATGCAGTAAGTACATGAATATACTTAGTACAAATATTTTCTCTCACAATGTCCTTTAGCCAGAAGCTCAAAAGACACCTTACAGTATCTGGAAAGCTCCTCATTGCAGAATTATTCTCTAAAGGGAGTACACATATAAGAAAAATATTGCTCAGCAAAGCAACACAGACAGTAGCCCAACACAAACTGTGGTGCACTGTGTCTTTCTTTGGTTCATGCCTGAAAGGCAAGTACACAAGGGAAAAATACAGGTGACAGCCTACCAGCCTAACTGATCTAGCTATCCCACTCAGTACAAAATAAAGTTGGCAGGTACACGGAAGGTTCTATGTTATTTCCTGATTTTCCCAGACCCATCTAGAAAATACTTGTTTAGCTCTTAAGATTTCAAACACTTCTTTTCTGACATAGAGACTGTTAAGCATTTGGTTATAAATGTCATCACCTCAGAGACAAGGTCCATAAGCATTAGAATTGGCACCTCTACATAGACTGTAGTGAGTTTGAACTATTTGACTGTGATGCAAATAATTTACCAGTGGAATTTTCAAATCATCTGCCACTTCACACACATAAACAGCCACCAAAACATAGTGACGCATTAATGCATGAATTAACACCTGCTTTAATGGCCTAAATGTTTTCTAATATCACTTTTAGCACTGTTCCTGCAGCAACAGTAAAACTTTCAGTTTGGGAATTCAAACTTCTATGATGAGGGCTGTAGAACAACTAAAGGTGTAACCTGATCTATTCCCTTGAAAAAATATAAACTCAGCAACATCCAGACTATGATTAAGGAAAGTGTTCAACCTGTTCTTCAACTACAAGCATCTTCTAAATATTCTGGGGTAACAATTTAATTATTCCTATCATCAGTGGAACAAGTGAAATACAATTTCACTCCTCCTTCAAATTTATCATCTCTTTCCTACATTTACATGGTGGACCTGTGGAATCCTATTGTAAGACGATATAGTCCAACACCAACACTACCTTCTTTCTTCCTTTACTTTTCACTTACCTTCATTTACTCATAGGAAATGCTCATGCCTTCAACCTCTTCTTACAACCACATCGTTTTCATCTAGATGTTTCCTATTAGAACATTAAGTATGAGACTCTAAACTGGACCTAGTTCTCTAATAGGCCCAACTGAATCAGAGCAATTTCTTTAGAAATCTTTAGTTCAGCACCGCCAAAAAATACCAAGAGTGAAATCAGATTTGCTTCTTTTGAGTAACACCACTGTCTGTTCCTTTAGTTTGTGATCCATTGGCTTATTAACACCTCAGCAGCTGACAGCTTTTTTAAATCTGCTTTTTGCTTCCTCCTTCTTAAGGGTAGCACATCTACTGTGTTTTATTTTGTCTTGTTGACTTTGGAGTGCTCCTCAGAGGCTCAAAATAGCCTGAACTCATTCTACCTTTTCAGTCTGTTCTCAGGTTGGTGGCATCCAGACATTGTGTCTAAGCATTAACTGCTCTGACACCAGAAAGATTCTCTCATGGACATGCAGTCAAAACACATTTTCCCAGTCTGACCAGGATCCACAGCTGTGCATTCCCTGAACTTCAAAAACATCACAAATATGTGGTTTGCTTGACTATGGTTATTCAGAACTACCAAAAACTTGACTGAATACATGTAACCTAACTCTGCCTCCCCATGCTTATTGAGAGTCTTTATCTTGTCTATTAGGGAAGTTACATTGGTTGGACAATTGGTGGATTTAACCATTTAATTTTCATTTATCTATTTTTACTGCAAGCACCACCTGAGCAATAGTTTTTAAAAATGAAAAATAAATTTTAAAATAAGCACCAATAAAACCCACCAAACCCCACAAAACAGACATGTCCCCCTCAAGGAGGAAGAGACAGCTTACTACTGTTCATCATTCTACACAAAGCCTTTTGTGAAAATCTGCACTTCAAAGCAATCTGAGGAAGAGTGTGCAATTCAGAACTTGTGGTCTTGCTCTCATCTACTGAAGTCCCAGAGGACCAAGGGCAGTCTAGAATTCACATGATGATTTAGTCTATCTCAAGTGACAAATCTGAGTGGCTACAAAAATACATTTTTAAAGTAAAAAGAATCTCAAGACTGAAATGTATCAGCAGTACAAAGGAAGAGGAAAAAGTTACACTAGCTGTCAGCTAAGGTGATTTTACCTCACCTGACCTTCTTCATGTTTTCATTTGTACTCGTCCCTGTGGCTGGATTTGCACAAGCCAAGCCAAGCCATCTTTGTAACTTTTAACTCTGTAAACTCAGTGATATTCAAACACTGAGTTCATACTTCTATTTTAACATCCCAAAACTCCCACCAGAGCTCATCTCTGACCCTCCCTTTTTGGATAACATTCACTATTTGATTACTACCTTGATTAAGTAGTTTAGTATATGCCAACAGCCTGTTCTGAGCTTAGCAATATGCTTACAACTGACACTAGATTTTTGGATTATGGTTAACAAAAACTTCCACTGATGGTCCTATCAACACTGGGACAAGAAGGAGGCATAGCACACCCTTTCATAGTAGCATGTGTCAGCTTTCTCCAAACAAAGTTTCATTTTGCCTGCATCACTTCCCAAGCATTTTAACCCTCCCCAGCACAGTGAAGGACACAGACTGTAACAAAAGCAGGACCATTTGGTCTAGCAAGAAGAGTAGAAAATGTTCAAGCAGATAACATCCATCTCCTCACCCATACTTCACATGACTTGTTTCCACTGTGTCCCAGCAGACAAACAGAAAAAGTCAGGAAAATAGGAGACAGACACAATCAGTCTTTCCCACTCTTGCATGCAAGACTGACTAATTGCATAATGATGAGTACTTTATTTTTGCAGTTCAAAAACTCAACTCATAATTTTTGTACTTGCAACTCCTAGGATGCCTTATTTGAAAGTTTCTCCCTTAAAAGGTACTAAAAACTTGTTTTGAGAAGTGCAGCATTGGTTTAGTCACCCAAAGAGGAACGTCAAGCTGAAACTGAGTATTGCTTAACTCAAATAAATCTTGGGACTTGACAACAGCAATTTACTGCTGCTGAAAGCAGGCCTTTCAAATTGTACTGAAAATCCATCCCCATCTTTACTAAGAAGAAGCATTGAGAGTTTATTTTTCCCCACAGTTATGGAACATGGGATCTATTTACCCTATAAAGACACATCATTGAGACTGATCAGTACACAGCCTCTTGAATGCAGTAACAGGAGGTTACATGTCTACAGTTGCACATGTCAACTATCCTTCAGTAAGCAGCTCTTTTTAGCCCCATCAGACTGTGTGTTAATCAATGGTAACCAAACATATGTCCACCTTTAGTGCACATCACTACACCTATCCAGCTTTTCTCTGGAACAAACTCATTGCAATGAGAACTTGAGACTTGCATGACCTTATTCCTGTTACCTTCAAGTGCAACCACAGGAGCCTATCAGATACTGAATACACAAGATTCCTAGAATACCACTTGATAATGAAACTACTGAAATTACAGTTAAATCTCCTCCCTGATGTATTCTTTACCTTTTTGTTTTACAACATTTGGTTTAAGCTTCCAACTACTTTGTACCAATGGCAGAACGCCATAACAAGAGTAAAAGAAGAACTACTCAGCAAATCCTCTTTGTTCTTGATGTAACCAATTCCTGTTCATGACAGGAACTAAGTAGCTTTCACAATGGTTTACATCCAGGTGGCTCATTTCAGACTTGAAAACCAGATGAAAGTTTTGGCATCTCACCCAAAGGCCGTCACTCTTTCTCACCCAAGTTTGGCCTAAGCAGCTGCAGAAGTTGCCCTCCTGCACCTCTCAGAAAGCCAAGCTGCTACTTGGGAAGGAAAGGGAGACGAGAGACGCAGCTATTGACAGAGGGCAGCACTTGCTGTGGAGGGGAGCATGTGCCTTGCAGCAACCAGTGTGCTGGGCAAAGCAGCTGCAACATTAATTACCAGAGTTAAACTGTAAGCAAGTGCAAGAGGTTGCATTTAGCTGCTAGGGCAGCATTTATCCTTTGAACAGCCCTTCCCCACCTAAAGTGAGCCTAAGAAAACTGCCTAGAAAGCAAGACCTATTAAAGTCCAATTAGGGCCACTATGAAAAGCCTTCAAAATCTCCTGAACAAATAGAGCATGTGCATAGTTGCTTTCTTTCCTTCCTCTACTCCATCCAGTTGAATAAATTTGCATGGTTGTAGATGGGTTAAAAGTTAAATTCCACTTTTAGGGTTAGAGCATTCACATAAGAGATCTGAAATCAACTTTGATTACAGAAGAGTTACACTGACAGGAACAGTAAGCAAATGGCAGTTTGTGAAGCACAGAGCACATGTGGAGAGTGGTCAGGGAGAAGCTGAACATGCTTGCAGGAGTTAAGATTGTCTGACATTTTTCCAGTTAAAAGCTAGTGAAAACTAAGGCCTGCCAAACTTCAATCAGTTTATGTCATTTTTTTGTGTCACATTCAGTTTAATCTTTGCCCCTAATCTACATGAAAGGCTTTTGCCATTTAACCAAATAAACCCCAGAAAATCCAAACACTGCTTAACTCAAGACCAGGGACTGGTCATTTAAAGTTTGAATTATCCCATTCTGTGCCAAAGAACCCCTTTTGGAGGAGGCATGGGGGAGTGCTATGCTACAGAAACACAACCAAAAAATTCAGTTTGCTTTCCCTGCTTTAGAATGTTTCGATACTTTGATTTGTCCCAAATTCAAGCTGCTCCTTGTACACTTCAAGAAACCATTGTGCACACTGAGAAAAAGTCCCAGGCAACTACAGGCAAAAGAGATTAACAGCCAAAGACTAATAGCAAAAGCAGAGCAGGAACGATTATGCTGCATTGCTCAAGTGCTTCCTACTGTTGATAGCATCTAAACAGTACAAATGCAAGGAAGAAAAATGAAGAAGTCATCCAATTTGAAGAAAAGAGGACAACAGTGACTAATACCAGGACAGGCTGACAGAAGAACTACTTAACCTTTAGAGTTCAAGCCCAAGAATTGCCTAGAAGACTATTCAAAATTACTAAGTTTCAAAAGTCACCTCATGTCAATGACACCTACTGTCCTTCTATGAGTTTGTTTCTGCTCTACTTCATATGCAGGGCAACGAGGAACAATGAGGTACTTCATAAGGGAGCAACTCCCCATGCCATGAACCTATACATTCCAAACCTAATGGTCAAAGTTACATCTGTGTATGAAGTTACATAACTTAATTACAAAGTTCCGCAGGATTTGCTTGACTCTTTTCAAAAAGTTCATATTGATTTTTTTAAAAAAACGTTTGCAAACAAGCTGAGTTGCAAAAGAATAAAATGTATCTTCTCTAATCATGTCTTCTACTGCCTTAACTCCAGCTATACCATACACAAGAGCTGCTTTACTAGTCCTTCTGCCACTTCAGCAAGACACGTAACCTAGGTAAGTTCGCTTTGCCACTCTCCAATTAGTAGTCCTGTCCTACTAAAAGACCCTTTTGCAAGAGTTGATTGTTTCAACCATACTTTAATTCAATTCCCATCCTTGGACTGCCAAGAATGTTAATTTCTAACAAGACTGGTAGTGTTCTTCCTTCACTGATCTGACAGACAGGAACTGGATTTAGGCCCAGACTCCCAAGGTTATTTAAACACCTCCAATCCTCCTCATGTAAAGGACCTAAAGTGTACTTGAGAATTTTGTCCCCATGTTCAAACAGGAATTCATGAAACTGAAAATAAACAGCTTGCACTCCCTGCCAGTTCAAATCCAAATTTTTAATTGCATCCTACTGACAGCTCATCCTAACATGATATTTGACAAAAAAAATGTTTGCCTTAGCTCCATTTTCCTGTGCCAAAAATGATAAGTGTCTTCTTAAAAACATGGAAAATAATTACACCAAGCTCAGCTGTTGATCATCACTTCTCAGAACTTTTTCTGAGTCTCAATCTCTTCAGAAGATCCTGAGAGCTATTTCTTTCAGAAAGGAGAGCTAAAGTCTGTATTACACAAGATTCTCCGAAATTTTCTACAAGACCCAAAGCAGTATTCAACACACATCCCAGCTTCTAGAATTTTGGATGCTTATATTTGCGAAGTGCTAAGGTTGTGTTCAACACTGCCATTTGTCAAAACAATTTTGTTGCTTGATCACAGTACCTCTGTACTTGACTACCCTTTATTTTCCACCTTCGTGTTTTATAATTTCACTGCTCAAACAGAAGTTTGCACTACTTCTAACAAAGGCATGGTTTATGTCCATAACTTACAAATTCTACCTTAACACAGAGCAAATAGACAACATGGCTCTCTGTGTGGTGAATGAAGGCCTGTTCTTACCATACAGTTCATGGCAAAGTGATTGTGCTGTGTCTGAAGCTCCATCGCATGGGGGTGACTGGTTCCGATCTCTGTGTAGCTGTTCAGAAACAGACCTTTGTTGTGAGTGATCCAGTCAAACATCTATAAGAAAATATTAAGGAAATAAAAAACGTCAATAATTTCTTATGGCAGAAATCATAGACAAGTAATATAAGAAATCTGTGAACACAGAAGACAGTTTAAGGCCATGAAAATTTAGGCTGATGCTCTTTCCATTGTAAGTTACCGTACATTTTAACCCAATCATTGCTGAAATCTGTCTTTTTGGACCAAGCAGCTGAGGCTGTTACAGTTATCTTTACTATAGGTGTTTATCTCAACAAGCTACAGTAGAGTCATAATCATAACTTCATTATTACAAAGAAGTCGTAGTAAACAAACAGACTTGGAGCACAGCCCTGAGTTGCCAAGCTTGTATGTTCTCCAGTGTCAGCACTTCTTGACGTCTGCAGCTTAGCAATTTAGAATGAAAACAGCAACTCATGGAAATTAAATATAAATTCATTCTTGCTGATCAAGTACTTCAGCAGCAAGTTTAATATTTTTAGTTTGTAACCTTACAGCAGACTTGAAAACAACTATTCCATTTCTAAATGAATTAATAGAAGTATACTGGAGCACAGTTACACATTACCTTCTTCCAGAGAAGTTTAAGAATAAACTTTAAATACATTTGTTTTTTAAAAAAGAAAAAAGCGTATTTTAAAATTAAAACAAATTTTAGGAAAGATCCTCTCTGACAATGGCCTTCAATGGAGGCACCTAGGTATGTTAACAGCATCACAGGAGAACAAAGCTTTTGAATACCAGGCAACACAGCAAAAAGCTAAGTTTAACACACCACTGTCCTGTAATGGTCTTGAAATCTTTGCCATATCTCAGCAAAACAGACACGCCTACTACCTGGATAAACTGGAAAAGACTAATCAGGAAAATACGGTAGCAATAAGCAGCAAATACTCATTTAAAGATCTTTCAATATATGCTAACAGAATTATATTAACAAATCCAGTATTCATTCCAGGTCTGTGACAAACCAAAACCAAGCTTCTAAGAGCTTAGACAACTGACACAGCGGATCATATACTCCTTCAGTTTTTCATCTAGAACACAGGAAGATGTCTTAGAACATTTTTCAAAATAGACATGAGTCCTGCTCATGACCACCTTTCTCTAGGTCATCTGAATACACTGCCTTCAGACACCTTACAGGGCAAATCCAATCAGACTCCCTCCCACCTCACCCCCTTTTTTTTTTTTTGCTTTCTCTTTCAAACCAGGCCAGATTTCTCAGAGTTAAGCAAGTCCCCTGAAATGAACATGGTGATTTTTTCCCCATACAATACCCTTTATGTTTCTGACAAAGATCCAGTCCTTTCCCACATTTAAGTAAACCACATAGACATACGCTAATAAAGAAGCCCTGAACTATGAAATCTAATCTGACACAAGCAGGGAAAATAAGGGCTGCAAGTAGATTAGGGAAAGGGCCTTAATCCAAAAGTGAGTTGGGATACTACATAAACCTTCTTTTTAATCTGTTTTTTACTGGGTGATGAGAGCATAAAGTTCCAGGTATACTAGCTGCTGTCAACCGCATTTTGAGGTGCTTAACATTTCCCTTTAGAAATAAAGATGGGTTGACTTAATATAGACTTATTCTTGGAATCAGGAACCTAGAAAACACAGATAGGAGCTTATGCAACCACATGGCAGGAGAGAGATCAGTCCCACAGGCTCAAGTATTTCACAAGAAGTTTCTTAAAGCCCAAGTTATGTAAGCAACTTGGTAAAACATGAGTAAATGAACAAAATATATTTTGATGGTGCTCATGTGATACTGAAAGATATGCTATAATGCAGAAGAATTAATGCTGTAATGAAGTGACTGAAAGATTGATAAAATGCATTTGGGCCTGAAAGAGCAACACTAGACCAACAGCTTCATATTTTCTAAATCATGTTCTAATTAATAGTTTTATAATTTTTTCAACTCTTTCCATGTCCCTACTATTTTCAGCTATATCCATTCAGTAAACACTCAATTTAAATGCTGCTTTAAAAAAAACATTAAAAAATTTAACATAGCAGAAAACATTAGAGTTGTGTAAAGCAAGTTCCTGAGCTGAAGAGATGAGGGTAGGGGAAAGCACAGGCAAAGAAAACAGATGAGGGAAGAGGAAGAAGTTTTAAATACATTTGCTCTGCTTTTACTCTCCCCCTTGCATCTGCTTATGACCACTGCTGGGAGAGCTGCACACTGGTTTAACATGGACATTTGGTCTCATCTGGTTCAGGCAATCTTACACAAAATACTTACAGAAATCTGAATACTTTCAGAACTCTGACGAAGACCATACTTACCACTTGATTGCATAGTCTGGTTACTACTTCTTCCAAAGAAAATCTCTCCACCCTTCCTTACAGCTACTTGTTCCACGGTAACAAGTCAATAAGTGATTGCAAAACCATTCTATATGAAAATAGATCTTAATTGAGCTCATCTAAAAGCAAACTGCCTGCCATATTTCCTCTTCAAATTCTACGACAGTCAAGGGCTTTCTCATTTGAAGGGACTGGTTAGCTTGAAACATTCTGAAATCATTCAGTTCCCTGTTAATGACATATGCACTGTCAAAAGAGATACATCAGTTTTTAGCCCGAGACTTTAAACCTTGCATCAATGAAGCAGATCCCCGTGTCAGCCTCTTCAGACTTTGTCAACTGCCTGTCACTCACTACCCAAAGATAGCCCAAAAGAAGACCAATACAGTCCTTAGTCATCTGTATTTATGAAGTATACAGCATTCATCTTCACCTGATGCATGCAAAAGCTTAACTAAAGTCACTACCACTTTAAATTTTCTATGGTGAGAGCTACCTGTGTCCTTTACAGCTTAGAATTACTATCCCATGCTCTTTACTCCAAGAAGACTCTGAGTGGTTCTCAATCAAGCAGCCCCTTATTTCTCATTAAAAGGCTAGTGATTAATTCTAAAGACAAAAATTACCATTTGCAGTTACCCTTGGTACTTCTTTCAAGTCTGTCAAGCACCAGCCATTTATAGTCCCCTCCCAAATCCCTTACCTTTTCAGCATCCTGCTCGAACAGCCTAAGCTGAAAACATTGGTCCAATTTCAATTTCCGCACATGCCACATCTGATGCAGATGCTGCCGTGTTGAGTGCAGCCTGTCCAGCATGGTGGATACTTTGGGCAAGAGGTTCTGTAAGTCTGCATTCCCTGACCCAGAGTTCTTTTTGGGAAAGCTATCACTGCTCTGTATCCGCTGGAGCAGCTTTTGTCCTTCCACATCAAGGTCCTCGATAGGGGCCTTAATGACTTTCTTTTTTAATTGTGAATGCTCCTCTATCATATTGCGAGCACCTTCCAGGTCCTGAGGCATTTCCTTTTTTGACAATATATCTTGCAGTTCCTCCAGTCTGGACAGCATATGGGTTGCATTGCTAATGTAGTCCTCAAAGGCAACTCTGATTTCTATCCACTCCTCATGGTTGTACTCCAAACAGCCATCAAATTCTGGGGTTAGCTGAGAAGGATCAACTACTTTGGTAAGGCCTTCCAGAGACACCATATTTGTCTGGAAGATAAAAATGGAAATTAAAAAAATGCTATTACTGAAACAAATCTGAAATTTTCTTTCAGGTTTTTGCTTTTCTCTTTGTAAGAGTTGATTGCTTTGCTGATGAAGTCCACATAACAACTTTTCTCACACTTCAACTATCAATTCTGATCAGTAGAAGACAGGAGGTCTTGTAGGTATTTCCCCAAATTAGAGAAATATTTTCTTTCTTTCTTACCTCACTCCACTTATTAAAAAAAATAACATCAGCAACCACACTTTTGACTACTGTTTTGATTAAGTTTTGACTTCGTGTATTGTAAAGCAGTGGAAGGATAATAGCAAGGTTCAGTCAGCTGCTTTCCTCTGGATGCTGGAGGTATTGCAATTACCATAACAACAAACAAATGACACCTAGCTTTTCATCCTTAGGGGTGAAACCCTAATTCCATCCTTCTTGTGCTCAGAAAAGCAATATAAGTAACAATGTGCATCAACTACCTAGCCTAAGTACATGAGGAAAACCACATGCCTTCTAGCACCACTGGCCTAAAGTACCTTTCCTTTCATGCAGAATATAATTTACCTGAGAGTTTTCAAGGTGCTGATCACTGTGAGCACACTTAAAACCATGAAATAAACGTATATTTGTATACCGTAGGGAAATTACCTCAAATTCAAACTTAGAGCTGCCAAAGTTAGTCCTCTGTTTCTGCCAGAAATTGTCTGGCTTGATTATCAGTGCAACATGAATACAACATGGAAAGGATTCCTGTAAAATCTTCAGCAGAGGCTTTATGGAGTCCCATTTTGACCCACGCATATCTACAATGACGGTGAATCCTCGTTTACATACTTCCTCACTGCAGAAGAAAGAAGAAAAGGTTATCAAGCAAGCACTACAACTTCAAACACAGCACTCTTACTGCACCACACTGCCTAATGAACAGGATCTCCTCAGCTAATTGCAACACCCTGAGGTCTCTCTTGACCAGCTGACATGTAGAGTAGACCTCATGAACCTCTCAGGAAGTTTCTCTCACCCCCAAAGGCCAAACTCCTTGTGGGTGATAGCATTATACCTGTTGCTGATTTGATATTCTGCCATTATCTCCTCTTTCATTTTCACTGTTTATACTGATGATGATTCATCGTCCAGTCTTGTTTCTCCCTCACCTTACACACACAGCAAACATACCTCTTACTGAAGCAGAAATATGTAATTAATTTACAATTGACTCTTCAGAACACACGCATGTCACTGATAACAATATTCATGCCCTTCCAATGACTATGGGGATCCTCTAAAAGACAGAAGATGGCAAACTGTTTTTATCTATCGCTTTGCAACTTTTTCCGACTGCCTCAGATTTAGGCCCATATTATCGGAGAGTTGAAGAGTCTGTAGAGGATAAAAAGCCCTTCATTGACAATTCCTTTTGTACCAGGATCGATATGTGGACAGCTACTGGATAGGACAGTTTTTTATGGTGGTGAAGAAAACCACATCAACCCATTTCTACAAAACTTGAGCTCAATTTTGCTGTCAAAAAGTCGACAGACCTTATACTCCAGTTCTTCAGCATCTCTTCTGAGAATGGAAGATTTAATTTCTTTTCATCAATACCTTCTGTACATTTAGTGCTTGCTGCTGATCAAAAGTGACAATCACCAGCACCACTACCAGAAACTTTGATACTGTTCCAGCAGAATTTGCTACATGACCTTGTAGCATGACCATAGAAAGGGAACTATTTCAATACAAATGCATCATAGCCAATAGATTATCAAAAGGGACCAAATGTCCATTGTCTGAGTACAAGTCACTTTCAGGGATGTGACTAATGCAAATGCAATTTTAGAGTTCATGTGGTGAAGTTTTCAGAGTGTCCAAGAGGCAGAGAAGCTTCACTGGAATACTTTACACAGTCTCATTGGCCACACTGCATAACAAGGCACTATGACTGATACAGGAGAGCTGCTGGAGGAAGTGATGATACAAGCACCTTAGAAGAGGAGGGTTTAAAAAATTTTAAAGTTTGGGGGAGGGGGTGAGAGGAAAAGAACTCACAACATTTTAAAATAAGGAGTTTATCACCATAAAGGTTGGCTCTCCCACCTGCCCATAGGAATGCCAAAAAGGCAATGGCAGAAGCAAAATATATTAAAATTGACTAGCTTTCAATACATGTAGGTTACCACATACAACTTTCTGACCACAGTGAAAATGTTCACTAAGATTCTCAGAGGATTCAAGGACAAAAAAACCTACTGTTTTAAAGCCAGACACATTACTGAAAGGCCAAACGCTGTTATACAAATTCTGCTTAGTCCAACCCTGTTCTACCACCAAAATGAGGATAGCACGGGGCGTGCTAGCCACTAATTCACACAAGGCATACATCTACTTGGGTGTGCAAAGCAGCCCCTCATCATGTGATACAATGCAGATGCGTCCTCAATCATGTGGCCCTATCATCTGACAGAAGTTGAATCCCTTTTGGCCAAGGATCACAAATATTGTTCGAGGAGGTCAAGGTCATCTGTTGGTAAACCTGAACTACACTAAAGTATCTGGTCCAGTCAGTGGCAGTCACCCGTGTTTAGCAATATTTTTAAGACAGATAACTTGTTAAATTAGTGAAATTGTGAGACTGAATCAACTTAAGTGTTTAGATCTCTTGCCAAACAACTGATATCTCTGAATCTTTGGCTACATCAAACAACAATAATGCAATAAAAAACAGACAGACCGAATTTGTAGCAATGGGACTTCTTAATTAGCTAGAGTTGCATATCAGTCCCTAAAACGTGACTTGTATGAATATCAGTCTTGCTTTTAATAAAGCTCCTTTTATTCTCAAAGCTTTTCCATGCTTAAAGAGATATAAAACCTGCACTAACTTTCTTTTAATTTTAAATCTATTGATGCTAAACTAACATGTATCTTTTGCCAGAGGACCGCTATCTCTTGACAGATTATCTCTACAAAATTCTTGGATGTATTTTGAAGAATATTTAGCTATTAACTTCTCTAGTAACTTGAAGCTCTAGAGGGCTAGAATACACCTCACCATTCAAATCTGAAGTAAAATTGTTTCAGAAGTAAAAATCTCAAGCCTTCTTCCTGTCCTCCTTCCTCCATCTCCCCCAATTCCCCCAAGTAACTTTACAAAAAGGAGGCCATACACACTGCCAACTAGATATCTTGAAGTTATTTTTGTGAAACCACTTTTGTCAGTCTGCAACTGACATCTGATCACATCAGGTGCAAAGACTAGCTGTAAGGTACCACATTACAGAACCATGGAAGATACTGCATTCAGGGATGTTGTCCCATGAATTTTTTTCAACTGTAATGACAACTGCCCCTTGAGGTCATAGGCCAACATAGCCAAACAGGGTCAGCATTGCTCCAGCCTGCAATAAATGCTGGCAGATTCCAAGACAGGCCTAAAGTCGGGTCATAGGATCATTTTTGTCCCCAGCTCAGTTACGACTGGAAACAAAGTTCTACGTGAACAAACTTATTTTTCCATATATATAAAATATGTAACTTCTTCAAAAATTTCTCATACATATGTATTTTATGTGTGTGTGTATATATATAGATACATAAAACTTCAAATATATATGGGAGTGCACATACACACACAGGCACTGGATTTCAATTCTGCTGATTTATTTAAATAGCACATTGCAATTCATAGCTTAAACTGCTGATAATGCAATGCTATCAGTACTTTCACAGATCACTCCACAGGTTTATCTGAGACCTTTACAGTTTTACATACTCTCCCCTGGTTATTCTTGTGCTGTATCAGGACACTATGACTTATCTAATACAAATAAGTTATGAGTGTTGTGCTGACCTCACTCCACACAAGGGATATTGCGAATGACCAGCATGTTTCTAATTATCAACGTACTGAAAGCCTCTGAGTTGTATTCTCAGTCTTGAACACAGTGACAGCAATACAGCATGACAGTGCCATTTCCAAGACAGAAACTACTTCCAGCTAAAGCACACCAGCCATTCTGCCAATGGCCTTCCGTTTACAAGGCGGAGTAATTCTTTCTTTTCCAAAAAGCAATTTGAAAATAGTAACTGACAAACTCTATATTAATTCCTTCATTTTGTTAACCCATTCAGTCTTCTAGCTTGTGGGTGCACTGCAACATAATCCATTTACTTTGTTACAGAGCTTTGGAGCTTATCAGACCACCACTTACCTAGGAATACAAGCTAGATATGAAATTAGTCTTCTAAGGTCTTCTTGCCGTATTCTATCGTGATTACTACGAGCTGGAAACGTTAGAATGGGACCTCCGCGCTTATCTCTGCCACCTGAAAAATTCAAAAAGTTAAAAGACCACACAGCATAACACTATTCTTGTTTGCAGAACTAGTCTTCAGAATAGTTTGGAAACTGAAGTCCAACACTGTTTTAAGAGTATCCATTTTGAAAAAAACAAAGTTATTGCACCTTAAATGCCAACACAGTCATTTTGAGACCAATTTAAAACTGAATTTTGAGAGTATCAAACAATACATTGTCACAATGCCTACAATGAGAATATCAAAAAAATTGAAACAAAGAATAACCAGAGCATTACTCTTACACAGTCACGTTCGACGGGCAGCGTGACATCTCCACCGACGGTGCTTTGTTATGTATTTTACTTTTGACTCAGCAGTTATACAGATTAAATTTAAATATAGAATTATGCTACTCTGTAGATTATATGGCAGCAATGAGCACAGCTGTGGGAGGTGTGCCCAGGTAGTGGAGCTCCTCCGCTTAGTGACAGAGCTCCGGGAGGAGGTGAGTAGGTTGATGACAGATGGATCGTTGTTACAGGAGATTCCCTTCTGAAGGGAACAAAAGGCCCCACGTGCTGACTGAACCCACTTCTTCACGAAGCCTGCTGCCTCCCTGGGCCTCGGGTTAAAGATGGGATGAGAAAACTTCCTATCCTGGCACGGCCCTTGGATTATTATCCATTATGGGTTTTTCAGGTAGACAGCAACAAAACTACAACAAGACGCCCAAGGGCAATCAGGAAAGACTTAATTGAAGTCTCTCCCTGAAGGCTTTGGGATGGCTGGCTGGAGGATCAGGAGTACTGGTAGTGCTTCTCTGCCCTTCCAGTTGCAGGGAATGGTAAAAGAAATGGGAAGAGGCAGCAGATGAATACTTGGCTCTGAGCCTGGTGTCACCAGGAGATTCTGGGGTTGGTTTATATGACATGGAGCCTGCTGCTGAGAGATGGGGTACACTTGTCTCAAAGGAGGAAAAGTATCTTTGCATAGGAGTTATCAAGGTTGACTGGAAGAGCTTTAAACTAGATCTGAAGGGAAAAACACTAAAACTAGGCTCACTAGAGATAAGCCTGGGGGCAACACACCAATGTGCAAGGGACAGTGTTCTAGCAAGGACCCTCAGTCTGCTGTCTCAGTGGAAGGAGGCATGGAGATCCATGTGGCAACAAAGTCGTAAGGACTACTGACATGTTAGAAACTATGGAAGTGCCTGAGAATGGTCACATTGGAATTAGGGCTTCTGACCCCCAAAAAGTGACAAAATCAATAGCCCAAGTGAAGTACATCTACACCAATGCATGTGGCATGGGCAATAAACTGGAGGAGCTGGAAGCCATTGGGCAGCAGGAAAACCAGGACATGGCTGCCATCATGAAAACATGGCAGGATGACTTGCTCAACTGAGTGCTGCAATGGATGCCTGCAAACTCTTCAAAAAGGATAGGCAAGAAACAAAGTCAGCAGGGCAGCCCTGTATGTTAGGAGTGTTATGACTGTCTAAAACTCAGTGATGGTGACGACAGCATGAGTGCCTATATGCAAGAATCCAGGAGACGCTTGCAGAAGATTCTCAGCTAGGCAGGCAAATGGCTAGGCAGGCAGCCAGGTGGGCCAAGGTGAATTGTATGAGGTTCTATAAGGCCAAGTGCCAGGTCCTGCACTAGGGCAGCCCTGTATGTTAGGAGTGTTATGACTGTCTAAAACTCAGTGATGGTGACGACAGCATGAGTGCCTATATGCAAGAATCCAGGAGACGCTTGCAGAAGATTCTCAGCTAGGCAGGCAAATGGCTAGGCAGGCAGCCAGGTGGGCCAAGGTGAATTGTATGAGGTTCTATAAGGCCAAGTGCCAGGTCCTGCACTTAAGTCACAACACAACAG